ATGTCAGGAATGTGGCAAGGCCTTTAAGTGGCCCTCAAAACTTACTCGACATCACAGAATTCATACTGGAGAAAAACCTTACAAATGTCAAGAATGTGGTAAGGCCTTTATGTGGCCCTCAAACCTTACTGGACATCAGAGAATTCATACTGGAGAGAAACCTTACAAATGTCAAGAATGTGGCAAGGCCTTTAAGTGGCCCTCAAAACTTACTCAACATCACAAAATTCATACTGGAGAGAAACCTTACAAATGTCAGGAATGTGGCAACGCCTTTAACAAGCCCTCAGACCTCACTCAACATCACAGAATTCATACTGGAGAGAAACCTTACCAATGTCAGGAATGTGGCAAGACCTTTAACTGGCCCTTGGACCTTACTGAACATCACAGATTTCATACTGGAGAGAAACCTTACAAATGTCCAGAATGTGGCAAGCCCTTTTACAGGCACTCAATCCTTATTAAACATCATAAAATTCATACTAGATAGAAACCTTACCAATGTAAAGAATGTGAGAAAATGGTTGAGTGCTCACCCCTTACTGCACATCAGAGAATTCATATTGGACAGTAACCTTACAAATACAACAAATGTGGCAAGGCCATTGACTAGCATGCACACCTTACTAAACATAGAATTCCACTGGAAAGAAACCTGACAAATTAATAGAATGTGCCAAAGCCTTTAGCAGGCAAACAACCCTTACTGGATATCACAGAATTCATACTGGAGAGAAACCTACAAATGTAAGGAATGTGAGAAAACACTTAAGGACTGCTCTCTCCTTACTCCATATCAGAGATTTCATATAGGAGAGTACCTATACAAATATTAAAGAATGTGTCCAACCTCTCACTGGATCTCCCAATAGTTATCATATAGGAGCAAAACTGTAAAATGTAAAGAAAATGGACAAACCTTTTCTGGAATTCAATCCTTACTCAGTATCACAAAATGCATCCTAGACTCAATCCCTTGGAACATAAGGAATGTAGAAAGACCTTCAGAAAGCCCTAAGCCTAACATTCACCCTGAACCACAACCTCAACTCCCAGGCCCGGGGGCTCACCAAGGCATCACAGGTTGGCTTGGAGCATACACCAAAGAGTGCATTAAAGAAAGTAAATTGAAAGATGTCAATGTTTAGAAAACTATTTAGTTGAACATCAAATGCCAATAAATGTCACAGAAATCAAGTAAAAGGAATACATTAGTCACTCTATTCAGACATCACTCTTATGAAAATAGTTATAAGGAATAATCACACTTAAACATTTAGAAAATGTGTATGCTATTGTGTTTCAACAGATTTAGTGGATGGACTTTTACATATGTATAATTAATATGTGTTTTTTATTTTTTCATCAATCCTATTCAGGATTTGTGACTAACAGTATTAATGTATTTTACTCTGAAATCACTTCAGAAAATTCTTTTATTCCATTGGGTGTAGGGCCATGTGGCAGATTGTTGCTAAGTCAAAGATATTAGATGCCCTGCTACATTAGGTGGGACTCATGCATAACTAATTTTCCATGGAAGATGGACAGTATAATATACAACATAAAGTATATCTCAATGGAGATGCTGCTTACGGTTATAACATTGATGTTAGATACCATGAAATAGGTGTTCAGAGCACATGCTTCTCCATATATTAAAACTAAAGAACTTCCTCAATATTAGAAATACAAGGTTTTACTAATTGTTCTTTAAGGAAAAAGAGGTGTCAGTCCAGTAAACTACCAATGTATATTCATAAGTGCAATCATTAGAGAGTATGAGCTGATGTGGTTGAAATGAAGAAATCCTGACGGAAACCCAAAGAGGAGAGTTAACTCTCCCCTACAATGCCAAACTGTTGTACGTATAGCTTCTTAAGAATTTACCTCAGTCTTGAAATTTTTGGAATTAAGTACTCCCACATCCTTCTAGCAGCACTCGGATGCTTTCTCACATGTGTATTCTGTATTTTAAATGGTGATAATAGAGTGGATTTGAAATGCATAAATTAGTCTATGTGTGAAATTAATATATTTTCATTAAGAAAATATAATGGTTTTTAACGTATTGATGTGGATGTGTAATGAATGATGTGTTATCCTACCTCCAGTGTTAACCTGTCTCGTTGAGGGTTATAGGTGACGGATGGAATCAATCACCTGTTTGGTAATGGAGTAGAATAATATACCTAGGAATCCATTTCCTTGGTGGTCTGAATGTTTAAATGATGTGTGATTATTTTTCCCCTAGTCCATCATACGATTTTCTCCTCTTCGTGAATACTATGCTATTATTATGGGTATATTACAGAGGTATGTAACATAAGAGGTATTGTTGATGTTTTAGCTCACATACTCCATGATACTGCTACTTGGCATCCATTTTGTGTAGCCAGTAGTTTTGCAGGGGCCTTGCACTGACAGGAGCCCTTCTGACTAGTGCATTCCCGAGACAACACGCTGCAGAGTCACGAGTTAATGGAACTTCTGGTATCACATCGGCAATCTGTCCTTGTGAGCCACCATCTCTCCTTTCTCCCAATGCTTTCCCTCTGTGTCCCTTAGAGAAGACTCCCACAGAACTTTCCTAAACCTGTTTTAGCTGGAATGGTATATTCTGGACTTAGCCTTGGGACTCTAAAGCATTGCACTGTGGCCCCAAATTAAAGTATGTGCCCCACTTTATTCATTGAATTGTTTCGCTGTGTCTATGAGGTACACATGTGCATATGACCATGCTACGTGTGTAATAGCCCATAAGAAAGAGAAATCTATCCCAATAGGAGTGATATGGTAGCCCAGGTAAGAGATAGAAAATATTTAAGATGAAGAATTAGCACGTGGAGGAGGACAACTGTCCTGAGTTGCCCAACTGACTCCCTGGATGTAGAAAAATAACTTCTCCTTGTTTTATTTCCTAGTTCTCTCCAGATCTCCAGTTATATTTTTCCTCGTTTTTGTTTCCAGCTACATAGGCACTACAACCATTCTTTTTTTGCCTGTGTTGTGGAGAGAGTGTCCTCAGTAAACGCTTAATTGAGACTAGAGAGATGGAGGGCCAATGGGTATTAATTCAGACATTTAGCACGGGGATGTGGGATGTGAATCTTAAGTAAAATTTGATGAAGGCACCATCCTTAGAAAGATAAGACCTATTATTAGGAAATGTAAAGAAGTTTTTTCAATGTGGGGAGGGACCCAGAGGGCTCCCTTTAGTCACTGCAAAGGCACAGGCAGCTCTTGGTGATGTTATCTAATAAATACATGTAATGGGGAAAAGGAATTGGCAAATGTGGGTTTCTCAGGAGTTAGGGAATTCCTGCTTTATCTTGATGATTTGATTGATCTCCTGTGTCTTACTGAGGACTAATGCTGTTGGATGTCAACGATTACTGTATTTTCCCAGGCCTAGATCAGTGACAAGGGATGGTGGAGGGTATTGGATGATGCAATCATTTGGGCATAGTTTTAAAATGTCACATGGTAGAATAGATGTTTGAGATGAAGAAGCCTTCTGGACAGTGGAATAGGCCAGATCAGCAAGTCATGTTCCATGGTTGCACCCAAGCACTTGTTTCCCAAGTAGATAACCCCAGTCAAGGTAAGAGCCACTGTAGTTGGGTGATCTTTCAGGGAAGCTGCTTCACTGCTGTGTGGAAACTTCCTCCCTTTCCTCAGCGCCATAATGAGTATAGTTCCATGCTCTGGCTCTTTGCATGGTAAGGATTTGTTGGAGGCACAGTTCAACAGTGAGAGTCAGTGAGTCTTTTTGCTTCAAACAGTCCAGCTAAAGTGTTCATTGACTCTTCAATGAATAAAGAAGATTATATATATATATATATATATAGAAGGGAATATTTATCACCCTAAAAGGAATGACATCTTGTTATTTGCCACAACATTGATGGAGCTAGAGAGTATTCTGCCAAGTGAAATAAGTCCGAGAAAGACAAGTATCATATGATTTCACTCATATTTAAAAATAAATTTTTTTTTTAAGATTTTGTTTACTTGACAGAGACAGCAAGAGCAGGAACACAAGCGGGGGGAGTGGGAGAGGGAGGAGCAGGCTTCCCGCCGAGCAGGGAGCCTGATGCGGGGCTCGATCCCAGGACCCTGGGTTCATGACCTGAGCCGAAGGCAGACGCTTAATGACTGAGCCACCCAGGCGCCCCTGATTTCACTCATATTTGTAATTCAAAAAAGAAAACAAGTGAGCAATGGGAAAGAAGAAAGAAATGGAGAAGCAAACCAAGAAACAGACCCTTAAGAGAACAACCTGATGGTTGCCAGAATGGATGTGAGTAGGTGGATGCATTAAATAAGTGGGGATTAAGGACTGTCCCTGTGATGACCATGAAATGTTATATGGAATTGTACAATCACTATTGTACACCTAAAATATTACTTTGTATGTTAACTAAGTAGAATGTAAAGAAAAAAACCTTAAAAAGTATTTTGTGTTTTACAGATTTAAGAAACTTTTTGTTTTAGATCACCTGACTTGCAGCACTTGCACAAAATATCTTTGCAAACAAATGGAAATATTTGTTTTCTCCCGTCCTGATTCCCCCCAAATTCAGAAACTCTCAATGACTAATCTTAATTTTTATGTCATCATATGTTTTAGCTATGATTGAATGTGCTAGTTAGAGTCATCTTTCTCCTTCAGGTGTCACCCTGGAGATGGTGGATTGTATTTTGGGTCTTGGTTTTCTCTGGAGTTAGCCTGACTAAATTGAAAGTGCTCAGCATGCTAAGGGGCTGATTCTTCTGTGTTTCCCCTGATGCAGCACCTGAATTATTTGTATCACGAGTGGGAATCCCTGTGGGATGGCTGCTGGGTGCTGAAGTTGTCTCTGCCACCCGCTAGTGAGAGGAGCTAATGTCCTTTTTGTGTTTGGATTCATTCAGAATCTCATCTACAGAATGCATCAAGCATTTAAATGGGCCACACTGTGAAGAATTTTAAATTTCTTTTTTTTTTTTTTAAAGATTTTACTTATTTATTTGACAGAGAGAGACACAGTGAGAGAGGGAACACAAGCAGGGGGAGTGGGAGAGGGAGAAGCAGACTTCCCGCGGAGCAGGGACCCCGACGCGGGGCTCGATCCCAGGACCCTGGGATCATGACCTGAGCCAAAGGCAGACGCCCAACGACTGAGCCACCCAGGCACCCTGAATTTTAAATTTCTAAGAGACAGATGCATCTGTGCCACAGACCTGCAATCTGTGCTTCTGACACTAAAGTGAACTGTGGCCATGCAGTATTCCAAAAGAAAATCATTTTCCTATTAGTAGAGTCATAACTGAATGCCAAGTGATTCTTTTAACTTGCAGCGCATTGGGCTGCAAGTTGGGATGCAGCTCAGAAACAGTGACTTCCATTGCTGGCCAAAAAACAACTTCAACTACACAGGAACTTAAGCAGAACCACAAACCCTCTCAGATTCTATGACTTATT